CAGCACAGACATATGCAGGAATAATGCTTAGTAGCTCTGTGGGTTTCCCTTAATACAATCAAGTAGACACCTAAAATTTCATTACAGGGTATTCATGGAATTGAATACATTAAGAAAGTGAAAAATATCCAAGAAGCTGGTTTTGCAAACCATCAGTGAAGGTATTTTATAATAATCAAATCTGTTTACTTCATTTCTAACTTCTACAGTCATAAGCAGACCTTGAACTATACTACTATAAGAAAAAGATCAGCAGTAGTGGTAAACTGTCAGGAGAGAGACGTGGGGTTGGCAGTTGAGGGAAACTTCTAGGGAATGGAGAGGTATAGCTCATCAAAAAGGGTGCCTGCATAATCAGTGTTTGCACACCTAACCATGAATTATACCCCCATTTTTATAATAAAAAAGAAGCAAAAAATGCAAAACTGCACAAAGTGCAGTCCCCAACTCACAGTCCAGCTTCAGAATTAAACAAAATGAATGGATCTACATAAGGAAGAATAAGAGATAGAGCAAACAGAAGTAAAAGCTTCCTCCCCATCCCTGAACAACAGAATTAAAGAAGGTATAAATGGGGGGAGAAAAATACACCCAAATTTAAAAAAAACAAAACACAAACAGCTGGACTCAGTGGTTCAGCCTGTAATCCTGCACCTTCAGAGGCTGAGGTGAGAGAATTGCCAGAGTACATGGGTTCGAGACCCACCTAGGCATCTTGGTGAGACCTCATCTCTACAATAAATAAAAAAATAGTTGAGTGTGGTAGCATGCACCTGTAATTCCAGCTACTTGGAAAGCTGAGGTGGAAGGATCACTGGAGCCCAGCAGGTCGGGGCTGCAGTGGCCAGGAGAGGCCACTGCACTCCAGTCTGGGTGACAGAGTGGGACTCCAACACACACACATACACACACACACACACACAAAGAAAAGTCTTATTTCTCTGGCGGGTTTCTATGGAATCAGTGAGAATTTTTATTCACTCGGGAGCTGATGGCCCTGAGACCTCGCTGGAGAGCTGGCCTCCCGGGCTGTGGTTTGCTCATTAGTAAGATGGAGCCAGGCAGCGCTAGGCAGGCATGTTCTGCACCCCCTGATGCTGGGCACCTCACCCCCAGGAGAGGCCCTTCCGCACTGGCCTAGCAGAAGGTCTGGCTTCAGCAAGCACTGTCCACCCAGGACGAGCTGGCAAGGAAGACTCTGACTCGTGGGTGGGCGGCCTCTGAGACTAACAAGAACTGCTCACACTTGAGACAGTGCTCTGTAAAAACATCGCCTAGGCCCCACTTTGCTTACCAAATTTGAAGCAGAGCAAATATGCCCAAATAGAGACCTGGCACAGACAGGAAACTCAGCCCAGACGCTGGGGAGGCTGGCAGCGCTTCGAGACGTCTGGCGGCATCTGGGAGGCCAGCAGCCACTCGGGAGCCTGGCAGCACGTGGGTCTCCAGCCCTGGCTGGTCGCTGGCTCCCTGTTGTGCCCAACACGCTCATGAAGACTGGCAGCTGCCCTGCTGGAGAGCGTGAGCTGGCATGGGGTCTGACTTGGTGACCGCACAGTGCATAAAGTGATGGGGCTGTGCCCTGTCCCAGCGGGTGCCCTGTGAACAGCACCCGCCGTGGCCGTCGTCATCAGCAGGTGACAGTTCTTGGGGACTCTGTGGAACTCGTGGCTTGCACGGCTCCGCGCCCCATGCACCGCAGCAGGGCAGGATGATGGCGGAGAGGCTTGAGGTGGAAGCCCGCTGCCAATCTGGGGTGTGGCCTCGATGCTCAGGCAGGCGCCCACGAGCTTTGAGTCCCGCGTCCTACCTGCTGGGTGATGGTGCGAGGCTGTGCCTCGTGGAGGGTGGGTGAAATGCCGCAGGACTGAGAATGCCAGCCCGAGGCCCACGCTGAGGAAGCCACCCGCGATGAATGGCTTCTTCCACCGCCAAGGTCACCGTCAGCCTCGTGCTCTGAACGCTCAACATCGGTGTGCTTGCTGACGTCAGTGCAGGGAGCCACTGGCCTTCCCTCTCAGCAAGGGACCCTGGGAGGCCCTGGCGGGCAGCCCAGAACAGGCATCTCCGCCCAGCATCAGCCAAGGACCTGCAGGCGAGGCACGACAGGTGCCCACTCTGCCCAGAACCCTCGCCCCAGACACGCAGGGTCTCGCCGGTCAGCCCGGGGACTCTGCAGTCCTTCCACGGGGGTATCACTCGCCACCCCACCACCGAAGTGCCAGCACTCGCTTGTGACCAGCTGGCGAGATGACCGATTCTTGTTCATTTTGATTCTGTTACTCATGAACGATGTAACTTTCACCTACCCACCAAGTGTGTCTTAATGACTTTCTCTTTGAAGATGGTTGGACCAGCAGCCAGGGTGTCCTCTGCAGCTTCTACTTGTGTGGACCTGCCTGGGCGCGGCAGGAAGTGGGCGGCTAGGTGTCCTCAGGGCTGGAGGGAGCCGGGCAGCACGTGCTGGACCCTTGGGGCTGGGGAAGTGGGGTGCACGTGTGGATGGGACTGCAGCCCCCTGGTGTCGTTTCTGAGACGAGGCCCAGGAGGGCCGCATGGGACATGACGGCTCTCACGGTCACCCTTAGCCCACCCCCGCACCTCCCACTGCCAAGGGCTGGGCTTCTACATAGAAAAGCAACAAATGAAAAGACCCAGGGTGAACTGGCCACCGTCTGTGAGGGTTGGAGCCCCTCCCAAGGCAGGCCACACACTCCTGCATGAGCTTGAGGGCTTGGGGAAAGGCAGGACTTGGCTCACGCTGCCGGCAGCCCAGAGCCCTGGGAGAGGGGCCCGAAGGTGAACCGTCCCCATGGGCAGGAGGCCAAGTGCTGTGACTGGTCCCTGGTAACCAGGGGAGAGGGGTCTTACAGCCCATACCCGGGGACGGTGTCACCAGGCTTCCAATGCCGCTTCAACTGGGAGCGACAGGGGCCCCGAATCCTTGGCCCATGGGTGGTGGCTGCTGGGGAGGACGGCTCAGCCCTGCTGTCCTGTCGCCCTTGTTATGTTTATACACATTTCGCTATTTACATTTTAATCTCTTATCACATGGCTAGGACTGCGTATAAAGTAGACACTTTAATGGAAGAATCACTATTTTCCAAGCAACTCCAGCCCATGTGAGCGGCCGGGGTGCGGGTAACTACACAGGCTCCTCCCCTTGGGGCCCCTCCATCTCCTCCTCGACCTCCACCGACTCCCCTGGCACCGTCCTCTCCATCGGGGCTTCCCTGCTGTCCCTGGGTGGGAAGGACAGGCTGAGGCTTGTCCCCCTGAAGGGAGCGGCTCGGCCTACCCAACCTCCTCGTCCACGTCCAGTCGCTTACCCAGCTTCCCTGCTGAAGATCTCATCCTCCTCGTCGGAATCCTCCTCCTCTTTGTGTATATTCTGTGCCATGATCTTGTGGGAGGTTTTCAGAGGTTGTACATGTCCCTGAGCCAGAGCAGCCGCTTCCGCCAGAAGAAATCCTCCCGGAAGCCAGCATCTCTGCTGAAGATCTCATCCTCCTCGTCGGACTCCTCCTCATCATTGGGCAGCTTCTGAGCCATGTTCTTTGTGCGGGTGACACTAAAAGGCTTTCTGTGGGTGACATTAAGACGTCCGTCAGCCAGAGTGGCCGCCTCAGCCAGAAGAAATCCTCCTGGAAGCCAGTATCCCTGCTGAAGATCTCCTGCTTTTCATCAGACTCCTCCTCGTCATTGGGCAGCTTCTGAACCATGTTCTTTGTGCGGGATGCATGTCCCTCAGCCAGAGTGGCTGCCTCGGGCAGAAGAAATCCTCCTCTAAGCCAGCATCCTGCTGAAGAGCTCCTCCTCCTCGTCAGACGCCTCCTCTTAACTGGGCAGCTTCTGAGCCAGGTTCTCTGGGTGGGATCCATGTCCAGGCCAGAAGCCTCCTCAGAGCTCTGGGAAGGCCACATGGTATTGGGGTGAGGGGCGAATCTCTTCACAGCAGAGAGCAGGCAGAACAGCTGAGTCCTTCCTCGACAGTGGCAGGAAAGCCCCCCTCCTCCAGCTGGGGCCTGCTCTCTCCATTCCTGTTACCCAGGCCTCGTGGGTTTTTGTGGTTGTTGTTGTTGTTTTGCATTTCGTAGGTTTACTTTCTTGCTGTTTTCCAGTTCTTCATTCTGCACGTGCCCATATTTACTGTCACACGAACCTCAAGTGAGAAACTGGCCAAATACGGTAACAGGAAAAGGATGAACAACAGGGAGGGAGGCAAGCTTGATCACGCCAGTCCAAGCAGGAGAATCGCAGTATGACATCAGAAATCGCCTGAGAACAACTTTGAAGTGGGAGATAGAATGTGATAAAAACATAATCCGCACAGTGTAGGGCCAGTTAGGACCCAAATTCCCAAGTATTCCGTAACTCGCAACTCTCTAGCCCCACTGAGGTGGAGTTGGGTGTCTTAACTGGGTTGGTGTCACACTGTGCATCCGTCTTTAAGTGACCATTTCCTTATGATGATTCAGACACGTCTCTCCTCGTGAATTAGGCCGCTCGTCTGTTTTACTTTATCAAATGCAAATGTGGCTGCTGAGTGTCATGAACGTAGCACGAATTCCAACGAATACCGTGAAGGTTACATCCAAGTGATTGTCTCGTTTGGGCTCCTTACCAATTAAGGAAAAAAAAAACCCTCTACACAGCATGCGTGTGTCCCCCCTACCCCACACAAGCGATCACCCAAGCACATGTTTAAATAGATATTCTTAATTTTTTAGCAAAAGGCAGAAGAGAAGCAAAAATACTTTTCTTTTTATATGAACTTTCTTTGGACTGTACTATTTCTATTTTTCTAACCCTTAACATCATCTTTCAAACTTTAACTTTAAACGACCCATAAATCCCAGCTTCTAAGGTGAAATAAGCAGGCCCCACACAGACGACTGAAGACAGGCCTTATTTTAACTTCCAACGCCAAGAACAAAAATAGCCTGTAAAAAGAATACGGCTTCACAGCAACAATCATTTTTGCCATCTTCTGCTAATACTCAGTAGTTTGTCCCAAACCAGTGGCTGACGTTTGCTACACTAAGGTAAAGGAGCAGGTTGACGACGAAGTATTCCTCGGTCTCTCTGACCCACACCATCTCCACGTGCGCTCTGCCTTCTTCCTCCATGGAGTCCGCACAGTATGTCTCTCCCAAGAAATGAGGACCATCGAGGGCGCGGGAGACAGTCTCATGCAAACCGGGGAACTGAAACGCCAAAAAGGTTCCCCGCGCATATTCGAGAGGGTGAGGTCCATCATGGAACAACTCTTTATAGAGCCATCAATAACATCAGTTCTCCAAAAGAGGCCAGTTTTGCCAACAAGAGGGAGGTGGCCGCTGTTGTTTTTAGAACTTATAGCAGTGAGTTTCGCATATCCATTTTCAACGTCTCCTTTTGTGGTGAAGAGATTGCGAAATGCCGCACATAGATAGAAAATCCCACTGCTGTGCAGATCCACGTGGAGTTGGGAACCATACAGTCCATACTCAGGGCTGTTATTCAAAAGGGGGCTGTGAGGAGGCAGTTTGTAGGGAATAGTGGCCCAGCCTAATGTGCTCCTCTCCAGGAGGTGACAGAAATGAAGATTTGCCGTAACAAAACCCAGTTCTTCCTCCTCCTTCCACAGCCCCAACAGGAGGCCAGGCTGTAGGCAGCAGATCCGAATGAATCTGTCGCAGCCAATCATGGCAGAGTCAGTCAAAAGACTCAGATTGTACTTGGCAATTAAAGAACGCCATCGGGGTCTATTTTGGGTGGGGTTCTTATACCAGTCCCTAAAAACTGGTGTCACACCATACAAATAGAAGGTTGACAATGATGCAAGACATGGCCAATTTTTGCCATACCACCCAACAGTAACTGATGTGTCGTTTATGGAAAGGTCAACATGCTCCATGATATATTCTTTTCCACTTTTTTCTTTCAATATAATTGCCCAGCTTAAACCAGATATTCTGAGGGCCTCTTTGGTCTTGGCCGGAAGGCCTGTGTAAGGGTTGACATGTTGGAGAACATGAGCTACTGAGGCTTTTACAGATGCTATTTGTTTTCTGATATTTTTTCCAATACCCAGCTTCCTTATCCTCAACTGACAGTACGCTCATTGACACAGCTGTCTCTTCCACTGAATGAACATCCCAATTAAATCTTTTAGGTGAAAAAGCAATCGAGTAGATTCTGATCCAAATAAAATTGTCATTGGTCAGATGGTAAAAGCGCCTGTTTATACATCCAGTAAGCAGCAGGCTCACGTCATCCAGGTAGGAAAATATCTTCAGCAAGAATTCAGGAGGCATTCTGTCCAGGAACACAGCGCAGCCAGCAGAGGCCTTCTTACCATGCCGTTTGCCTCTGGCACACTGCCTCAGAGAAGCATAGCCTGCAGCCAATTTGACCCCTGACTGCTTTTCAGGAGCCGTGCTGTGGGAGGGACCCATCGGTCGCCTATGGGCAGGGACTCCAGTTTTGCACCTGTCTTCGCATGTGCAGCGCATCCCCTCGGCCCAAAGCCCCAGAAACTTCCGAGTCCTGGCTTTTCCCACTCTCCCACGTTCTGACGCCGCTGCTTTATGTCTAGCACACCCATGCCTACTTGTGGCTACCTCGTTCTCTCCACTTGCTGGCTGCTTATTGTCTGGTTTCTTTAACAAACTGAAACACAAAAACTAAATTATGTGCCCATAAGTAACAGCAAAAGGGTGATGAAAACACTCCTCAGTTTGTAACTGCTCGTTTGACTTTGGCAAGCTCTACTTGAAGCACGAAGGGAGTCGTTGGCTTAACTGCCTCTCTGGGACCTGTCCCTCGTGGGCTTTAACTGGGAGGGAGCTTGGAGAGCAGGTGGTCTCCTCCTTTATAACAAGGAAACGGAGAAAGAGAAAGGGAGCCGGCACCATCAAACTCTTCCCCGACTCCCGTTTCCCTGCAGGGCTGGTGATAGCAGGCACGTCCTTGCTAACCAGATTCAACACAGCTTTGGGGATCCAGTTTTGTTGGAGCCTGCCCAAGGACCAGGGTGAGGAAGCATCCTTCCTGCCTCTGGCAGTGACTGCACTGCCGAATGAGGGAAGGCCAGAGGTGCGTTCCAAGTTCTCCTCTGGTTCTCAAATCCCACGTAAAAGTTGCTGGGTTAACGTTTATCCTGAGGTGCCTTGTTTTTTAGTCTTCTGTCGGTGAGCGTAAATCTGTTTTGGAAGAAATTTCAAGTGGCTTTCCTTGCCCTTCCCCAGAGTTCCGAGAAGGCTTCTGGCCTGGCCTGATGGCCTCCACAGCAGGAACAGGCACCACCAAACTCTTCCCCGACTCCCGTTTCCCTGTGGGGCTGGTGATAGCAGGCACGTCCTTGCTAGCCAGATCCAACACAGCTTTGGGGATCCCGCTTTGTTGGAGCCTGGCCAAGGACCAGGGTGAGGAAGCATCCTTCCTGCCTCTGGCAGTGACCACACTGAAGAATGAGGGAAGGCCAGAGGAGCGTTCCAAGTTCTCCTCCGGTTCTCAAATCCCACTTAAAAGCTGCCAGTTAACATTTACTCTGAGGTTCCTTGCTTGTTAGTCTTCACAGCTCTTTTATGAGCATATCTCTGTTTTGGAAGAAAAGGTGATTATCTACCACAATGACCACTGTCTCTAGATCTTTATTAGTTTTAAATCTTATCTACCCAATGCAGGACTTCTTTGGAGATAGGAATTCTATCCCATTTGACTCTTCTACACTATAGTGGTCCTTTTGCTTTTGGGGGGCACTGGCTCCAGGACCCCCATACCTCAGACCAAAATCTGCAGCTGCTCAAGTTCCTGATATACAGTGGTGTAGCCTCTGCATATAATCTAAGCACATCCTTCTGCATGCTTTAAATCATCTCGAGGTTACTTAAAGTACTCGAGGAGTAATCTCCCAGATGATGTAAATGCTATGTAAAGAGTTGCTATTGTTTTTTTTTTATAATCTTGAATTGAAGTCTCACTCTGTCTCCTAGGCTGCAATGCAGTGGTACAATCACAGCTACTGCAGCCTTGCCCTCCTGGGCTCAGGCGATCCTTCTGCCTCAGCCTTCTAAGGAGTGGGAACTGCAAGTGTGTATGCCACCACGCCCAGCTCATGTTTTTTAAAAAATTTATTGTAGAGGTGAGATCTTTCCAAGTTGCCCATGCTGGTCTCGAACCCCTGGGCTCAGGAAATCCTCTCACCTCTGTCTGCCTCCCAAAGTTCTGGGATTACAGGCATGAGCCAGTGTGCCTGGTCTGTCTTTTTTATTATTTTGCCTTTCTGAATATTTTCGATATGCCATTGGTTGAAACTGCAGAAGTGGAGCCCACGGATGTAGAGGGCCAATGGCACCTGGCTTGGAGTCTTGCATGCAGCTGGCACCGAATCTACTTTTTATTGACTGTTGGAGGTAACATTCAGCAGATAACACCTACAAAAAACTGTTAAAAGTAGGAGAAAAAGGAAATGGCCCCAACTTGATTAAAGGACCCACTAAAAATCTAAGCAGCAGTCTTGTTTTAACGTCAAGAACGAGAGCAGGGCGCCTGTCATCACTGCGCCTACTCGTTGTCATTGAGGTGGTCCTAGTCAGCGCTGTAAGGAAAAGAAATGAGTTGCAAACATTGGAAAGGAAGAGACACAACTTCATTAGGTGCAGATGAGGGGCAGACAACCTAAGAAGTCCGGGAGAATCCACTAAAAGTCCTAAGAGAATCCAGGAAGGTGGCTATGCAGAAAATCAAGAGCTCAGAACTCAGCGGCTTCCCCAGGCACCACCAATGCTAATTAGAGACTGGAAGAAGGAGCTCATTGACAATAGCAATGGAAATGGACAAAGGACATAGGAACAAAGACACAAAGACCTTATGCTAACAAGAGGTGTGTAAGATCTGTGCAATGGAAACACTAAAACTCTCTGGAAGGACAGCGAGAAGACATGGACACGTGGCATGAAACAACATGTTCCCAGAGTGTTGTAAAGATGTCAGCTCTCAAATTAATATCCAAATTTAATGTGACCTTTACAAATTCCAACGTAGTTTTTTTGCGAAAACTGACTGGCTGACATTTGATAGGGAAAATATGCAAGAATAGCTGTCTGTGAAATATATTTTTAAAAAAACCAAAGAGAAGGAGCTTGCCCTACCAAATATATAACTCAAAATATGTTAGAGGGCAACTGGAATTAAGTACTGTGACTGGTACCAGTACAGGAAAAGACACCTGCATCAATGGGAGAAAACAGAGGCTAGTTAAAGATGGCATTTTAGGCTGGGTGTGGTGGCTCACATGTGTAATCACAGTGCTTTGGAAGGCCAAGGTGGGAGGATCACTTGAGGCCAGAAGTTTGAGAGCAGCCTGGGCAACATAATGAGACCCTCGTCTCTAAAAAATTTAAAAATTGGCCAGGCATGGGGGTGCACGCCTGTAGTCCTAGCTGCTCAGGAAGCTGAGACAGGAGGATCACTTCAGCCCAGGAGTGATTTGAGGCTGCAGTGAGCTATGATCATACCACTGCACTCCAGCCTGGGCCAAGAGTGAGGCCCTGACTCATTAAAAAAAAGAGAGAAAGAGAGAGATAGCATTTCAGATCAGTGAAGAAAGAATGAATCATTCAATAAAAGTTGTTTTGAAACAATTGGATATTCATGTAGGGGGACAGTTGGATTCCCTACCTCAATCATACTAAAAAACAAAAAAACCCAGATGGATTAAAAAATATAAACAGCAACACATTGTGAAAGCACTAGAAGAAGATATGAGAGACTATCTCTATTCTGTGAGGTGACAAAGGCCACCACACCCATAAACCACGAGGTGAAGGCTACGATGCGGTGGCTTAGACTGTCATCACACCAACTCTGCACAGCCTTTGCCCCTTTCCCACTGAATTGCTTGTCTTTTTCCTGTTGATTGATGAGACTTTTTATATTAAATGTGTTAATCCTTTTGGTGGTTTTCATTGTATTTCAGTGTTTCAATTCCATTCCAGTGCTTGTCTTTAAGGAGGAGACAGAACAATGGAGAAGGGGAGCGGGTTGGCAGTCAGGGGAATCTGGGTTCTGCTTTGGGTTCTGCAATTGAGGCCTTAAGTTGCTCTCCTTCATCTGTAAAAGAAGGATGATAATACCTTCTTCTTTACAGATTGTTAGGATTAAATCAGACAATAATGAAAAACTGTTCCTTCTATGCCTGGCACACCCAAGTGCTAAGTTTGCTAACAGTGTCATAGGACAAGGTATCCACCAAAGGTCTCTGCTTGTGGTATCAGCCTTACAAAGTAGGATGGGCACAGTGGCTCAGCCTGTAATTCCAGCACTTTGGGAAGCTGAGGCGAGAGGATTGCCAGAGCCCGGGGGTTTGAGACTAGCCTGGGCACCTTAGTGAGACCTCGTATCTACACTAAGTCACAAAAACTAGCCAGATGTGGTGGCATGCATCTGTAGTTCCAGCTACTTAGAATGCTGAGGTGGAAGGATCGCCTAAGCCCAGCAGGTTGAGGCTATGGTGGCTGTGAGCATGCCACTGCACTCTAGCCTGGGCGACAAGAGTGAGACCCTAACTCAAAAAAAAATTTTTAAAA